AACCAAACAACCGACTCAAGTCAAGCTACCTAAGATAGAAATATCGACATTTGATGGAAATATCCTACAATTTCACCCGTTTTGGGACTCATTTGAAACTTGTATTCACAATTCAAGTCTGTCTAACATTGAAAAATTTACATACCTAAAAAGCAAGGTCACTGGAAAAGCAGCAGAAGCTATACGCGGACTAAGTTTAAGCAGTGGAAACTACGAGGAAGCAGTAAAATTACTGAAAGAGAGATTTGGAGACACTCAAACTATTATTAACACTCATTATGCTCAACTGATTGATATTCCAGCTGTTGCAAACAATGTCAATTCCTTGAGATCATACATAAACACTGTGAAGATACACCTTAGAAGCCTAACTGTACTAAAGCAGGACATAAATCAAAGCATTTTTATTCCTATGATCACATCTAAATTGCCAAAAGACGTTGTAGTTCAACTTAAAATCCAAAAGAAGAGAGACGAAACGTGGACAGTAACTACATTACTTGAGCAACTAGAGGGATACATCAACGCAAGAGAGTCAGCGGAGAGAATATTCAACCCACCAACTCTAACTACACCACTTAGTGGACCACATATTAATTCTACTACAAGAGACATACCTAGAAATGGTGGCAGCAATGCATCATTAAATTACAACTTCCCACCCCCAAAGAAGCCCATCTTTGCTTCAGAAACTCTACTACACGCACAGAAAGCCAGCTCATCACCTAGTAGGCCACGTAAGGCATGTGTTTACTGCAACAAAGAACATTGGTCGGATGAGTGTAATGTTTACAAAACAGTAGAGGAGAGAAAAGCCAAAATTAAGGGGAGATGTTACAACTGTCTTAGCAACAAACACATGTTACGCGAATGTCAAATGGAGAAAGCCTGCTACTACTGTAAGAAGAAAAAGAATCATCACAGAAGCCTATGTCCTACAACATTTTCATCAAAAGGACACAAAGAAGTTATCGCAATAGCATCAGAAGACACTCATTTTACTACAAACAGTGATGCGCAAGCACCTGTCAACACTGAATGTGCTACACTAGCACCTGAGAACTCTGTAGTCATGCAAACCGCTACAGCAACTGTCACAAATCCATGTGAAGAAAGTACACAAGAAACTGCACAAATACTCTTAGACTCTGGAAGCTATAGGTCATATATAACTACAGACCTCGCAATGAAATTAAAGCTACAACTAGGAAAGATAGAAAAGATAAGGCTTGTCACTTTCGGACAAACACAGAGTCAAGTTATCAACACACCAACTACTAATTTAGACTTGCCACTTAAAGATGGAACAACACTTCATTTAACTGTAAACGTAGTACCAAAGATCACTGGAGAAGTACATAGACACCCAATTGGCTCACAAGCACTCAACAGCCATTTACTGAAGAATATAGAACTTGCAGATAAGCTACCACTTGAAAGACAAACATCAAACATTGATTTACTGATCGGAAATGACTATTATTTAGACATAATAGAACCAATGAGAGTTCAACTWCAGCCAGGCTTATACTTACTTGCATCAGGACTTGGATGGATTCTAACAGGAAGGACTTCGTCGGAGAGCTCAACTACAAGTAACTCAAAGCAAACAGCACTACTTGTTCTACCCTCATTTGGACAAGATAAGTTGATGAACAATGAACTGTATGATACTGATGATAGTTCACTACCTATAAAACCACGAATTGAAGAATTTTGGAACCTCGAAACTATCGGAATAAAAGACTCGCCCACTGTAACTGACGATGAAATTGCAATCGATAACTTCAACGATACCATCAAATATGAGGATCAACGTTACTATGTCACTTGGCCGTGGAAAGAGAATGCTTCAACTTTACCTGATAACTATGGTCTGTCCTTAGGAAGGCTTAAAACATTGACACGAAAACTGAAACAGCATCCAGATTTACTGAAACAATATGATTCCATCATCAAAGAACAACTTGACAAAGGAGTAATTGAAAAAGCGCCTCCTGACTGCAACAAAGAAACACAGCAACATTATATCCCACACCAMCCTATTATAACGCCAACGAAAACTACAACAAAGGTCAGAATTGTCTATGATGCGTCTGCAAAAACTAACGACAAAAACACTAGCTTGAATGAATGTCTTTATCGAGGTCCAGTTTTACTCGAAAACTTAACTGGACTTCTGATTAGACTACGTTGCAAGAAGATAGGAATTGTCAGCGACATTGAAAAAGCTTTTCTACAAGTAGGATTGCAAGAAGACGACAGAGATGTAACAAGATTTCTTTGGCTGTCAGATTTAAATAAACTTGATAACATTAACGAAAACATTCAAGTCTATCGATTTACAAGACTTCCGTTCGGAGTTATTTCTAGCCCATTTCTACTTGCAAGCACTATTGCATTTCATTTAAACAGYCACATGTCAGACACTGCAAAGAAGATCAGAGAGGATCTGTATGTTGACAATGTTATCAGCGGAACAGACACACTTCAAGAAGCTAAAGAATTCTATGATGAAAGTAAAATGATTTTCAACGAAGCATCCATGAATCTGCGAGAATTCGCATCAAACTCAGAAGAATTCAATTCTTACGTCAAAGAAGAAGACAAAATGAAAGGAAACACTACAACAATTAAAGTTCTAGGAATGATGTGGAACTTAAAGAAGGACACTATTGGAACTTGTCACGTGACTAACTCAGCACCTACTGCAAAGAGAGGAATTCTACAAACAGTTTCATCTGTTTATGATCCATTAGGACTTTTTACACCAATAACTTTGACTTCAAAGCTCCTTGTACAGGAATTATGGTGTAAAGGAATCAAATGGGATCAAGAGCTAACACTGACGCATCGAAGAAGGCCTACGCAGCAGCTGTATACTTACTTGTCACCACTGACACAACATGTGAAGTAAACCTGATATTCTCAAAGGCAAGACTTGCACCTACTAAAGGAATGACTATCCCTAGACTCGAACTGCTTGGGGTTCTGATTGGTGTCAGAGCTCTTAAGTTTCTAGAAACAGAATTGAAATTCAACATTGATGAGAAGATACTTTACACAGATTCACAATGTGTACTACACTGGTTAACAGTCTTCATAGAGAACAGACTAAAAGAAATCAGATCAGTCGACATAACCTTCAGATATGTCAACACAAACGACAACCCAGCAGATATCCCAACCAATGGAACAACTGTATCAGAGCTTAAAGAATGTAAGCTATGKTGGAAAGGTCCACACTGGCTAACTACTCCCAAACATACTTGGCCCACATGGTCAATTATTGAAGTCAACCAGGAAACACTCAACAACATTAATTCAGAAGTAAAATCAAAGCAGAAAATCATGTATGAAATTGGTTTAGTCAACGAAGAAACCTGCAAATCCACAAACCAAAGACCACTCGACATTGATGAAACCAAATTTTCATCATTATCAAAACTACTTAGAGTAACTGCATTAGCGTTACGATTCATTGACAGACTAAAGAAGAAGCCAACACAATCTAATGCTATAACTGCACAAGAACTATCAAAGGCAAGAACTCTATGGGAACTACACATTCAGAAGGAATCATTTACAGATATTATTGATGATATCAAACAGAAAAGAAGAAACAACTTGGTCAT